CTTTCGTTATTGGTTGCACACATTCGGAGACACTGACGCGGCAGCCTCTGGTCAAACTGCGGTAGGCATCGTACTCAGTTCCCAACCTGAGTCACTGTTGGTTAACTAGATTCCGATGAACAACCGTCTGTGTGCAGCGCGTTTGACGACACCGACCAAGGTTGATTCACGAAGTAGTACGAGACAATGTTTGTTTGTGGTTTCCGCTTATGCTCCCACCGGCTGAAGTTCTGATGCTTCCACGTTCTACCACGAACTGAACACGCTACTACGCAGTGCTACAAGTTCAGAGAACATAGTACTTGCAGGGGATATGAACGCACATGTAGGTCGTCTGGGTTTAACAGAAGCTCAGCTAGGTGGTAAGTATGGGCTAAACCCCGAACAGACTGACAATGGCGAACGTCTGTCGCAGCTGTGTGCGGAGCACCAGCTTTTTCATTGTGGCACTGCTTTCAGACACGATGGGCGCCAAAATGCAACTTGGCGTCCTCCTGTAGCTAGCCAGCGATGGACCAAAATTGATCACAGGTGGCGTGGTTCCATGCTGGATTGTCGCACGTTCTGGAGTACTCGCGTCGACTCTGATCATGCCTTGGTATGCTGTCGCTTTTCCATGAACGTTACTGGACATACGAAACGTCTTCCCCCGATAGGGAACTGAGAAATTATATCAGCCCTCGTTCAGGCAAGCCTACCAAGATGCACTGCGCACAGAACATTGGCTGGCTTATCCTAATGACACTGAGCTTTAGTGGAATAGGATCTCAGCCGCCATGCAGGACGCAGGAGCGTCTGCTTATGGCACTATCAATCGTCACCGCATCAAGCACTGGATATCCGAGGTCGGTGAACCTGTCGGAATCCAGATGAAACCTCCCGGCTGGCTCTGAGCACCGCGTAACCAGACGGGCTACTAGGCGCGAACTAAAGCGGAGCTTGCGCGCCATCTGGTGTACCAGTCGCAGGATCAGGCGGGAGCATTAGGGTACTATCGTAAGCTTTTCCAGCTGATCCGCAACACTGGTCCCAGGAAACCGGGTGACAGTGAGACAATCAGACACAGCGCGGATGTTCTGATACACAATAAGGAGCACCGCATGGCTCGTCGGGCGGAACACTCGAGATCAGTTCAGTTCGCTACCTGCCCCGGTCCTTTTCCTACTCCAATGGTGCAGGATGAGCCATGAAAAGTTAGTTTAGAGGTCCCATCGGAGGCTGAGGTCTGAAATGAGATCACAGTCCTCAATCCTTTTCGTGCTGGTGGCCCGGATTCCCTCCAACCTGCATGAGTTAAGAATGGAGGTGTGGTTTTCAGCAAAGCACTAACCTCACTGTTCGAACATGTCTGGAAGGAGGAGACCGTCCAGACTAACTGGAGTGAATCGATTATAGTGGCAATGTACAAGATTAGTCGCACAAACTGTGCTAACCACAGAAGTATTAGCCTAAGATCAGTTGTGACAAAACTACTGGCCCCAATTCGCATTCATCGCCACACTGTGGAATGTGAATAACGGATTACGAGAAGAGCGGGCAGGTTTCCGCCCTGGACGCGGCTGTATAGATCACATCCACTCTGCGACCGGTGCTAGAGCAGAGCCACGCACACCACAGGCCGACAGTAGCTGCGTTCCTCGATTTCAAGAGAGCGTTCGATTCAGTCGATCAATGCATTCTGTTCGAAATACTTGCGCGGAAAGCTGTTCCCATGAAATATGTGAACATTTTACGTGCTCTGTACTCGAACACCACAGGCCGCGTCAGGGTCTACGGTGATTTGTCGGATACCTTTCCGACAACAAGTTGCGTTCGTCAGTTGTCCAATTTCCCTTGCGGGATCTCACGATGGAGGCGTTGAGGTGCTGCCTGGAGAGAAGCTAATTAATCTTGACTATGTGGACGACATCGTCTTGCTTTTTCACCATGTTTCGGCGACACAATCAACCACGAGTGGACTATCTAAAACAGTCCCATTAGTTGGTATGCGCCTCGCACCTTCAAAGTGTAAAGTGTTGCTGCAGGACCACCAGCCACTCGATGATCTCTTGACCCTTGATAACGAGAAACTCGAGGTAATTGATCGATTCATTGATTATAACAGCCATGGCAGCAACTGAAGTTAGTGAAAGCCAAAACTGCCTTTCTGAATCCGTGACATTTTTGACGACAGTAAGGGGATTCCCCCGTTTGAAAGACCATGTTTACAAGGCCGGTGAGGGCCGTACTATTTCATGGGAGTGAGACTTGGCCCCTTCGGTCTGAAGATCTGAGGCTCCTTCAAGTTTCTGATCATTAGTGTCTGCGGAGCATTGCTGGTGTCAGGTGGCACCAGCGTGTCCGCAACGATGTGCGTATGCGAGTACTAGGCAATGATATCCAAGCTAGGTCCCTAGAACAGATAGCACTGAATAAGTTGCGTTGGCTTGGGTACGTATGCCGTCACCGCTTACCTAGGAGGGTTTGTTTAGTCTGCCAGGTGTAGGGTGCCGCAAGGCTCGAAGTGGACAGATGACTTGGCAGCGGGAAATGAAGTCACTGACGACCAAACTGCGTGCCGTCGGTCCGTCTCGCCCTCCAGGCTGAAGTCCACGTGACTCGCCTAGTGCTTGGCTAGAGCCTTTACAAGGCTAACAGTCGGCACCAGTGCCGCATCTGCAGCCGGCCCTTAGTCGGACTGTCTGTTTAACTTGTGTTTTGTGCTGAGTTATCTGTGGCTGATTATAACACGGGGTAGTGAAAGCCGCAACGAAGCTCTCGTTAATACCGTGGCCGAGCCGTACGCCATCGGGCGCGTCCCCAGGTTGCGGATCGGGGAATGCCTTCCTTGTGGAGTTAACTGCGAGTAAGTCTCATTTGCCTTGCAGGCGAGATGAATAAGTAGTTGTGGACAATCAGCGGCAGTGTCTCAGAGCGTGGGGAGTTTTGGGCTGGTCACGTGATTCTCCACCAAATACCACAAGAGCTTGTACGGCACTGTGTCAAAGCCAATGTGAGCGGCTATAGGGTCACTGACCACCTAACGGAGGGCGGATGAACCACCTTGTTGGTCATCGGCTTCTCTGTGGACTGCTACTGAACACAAAGAAGACGAATGAGCTACCCCGATGCCAACGGTCTCCGTCAATCGTCCCGCTGCCTTGAGGGTCAGGTCTTTATGACCAAAGGCTCGGGGGGTGGGTTCTCTTAAGTCAAACCTCTTCCTCGACCTGGGCAACCGGGAAGATCTCTGTCCGCGCAACTCGTTAACCTTGCAAACTTATCCGATCCGACAGAACACAATCGCAAGTACAACTGTAAATACAAACAAAGCCCTGCACACATATACCTATATAAATATATAAATAAATATATATATGCAAGGTAAATTCACTGCAACCGGCAAACTTGAACGTTGTTGGACATCTATCGATTACTCGTGTAGCTTTACCCTGATCAGGATTACGGTGTCTCGCGTTGTCGAGGATATACCACTCATTTATTTAGTTATGCGTAGTGCTACACGTTTTGATATGTGTACCTCCAAGTGCAAAGCATTTTTACATGGATGGACAGACACGGCAATGGTTTTGGCAATCACTGAACAGGCTGTCAATTCTGGCGGTGACATCACTGAGGAATTTACATCGCGTATCCCCAAGTGTGGGATTTCTGAGGCCCAGCTATCTATAAAGACGGAGTGACATTAGCTTGTCGGTGAAAGGTAGGGTGCACAAAACTTCGGCAAGACCGGTGCTATTGTATAGATGAGAGACCTGATCAGTTCGCAGTGAAAACATTAAACAGTTGGCAATGTAGGACCACCGATGCTCGCGGAGTATTGCTCACATTTATTAGGGAGACTGAGTGAACAATGTTGATAACCGCTAATTGATTTTTGGCGAGAAGCTTCAGCTCAAGCGGGCTAGCTACGTTGTGTCCCTTCCATGATTGCTGACCGATTTCCTCGGCGAGCGAAATACGCCACCGATGCACTAAGTTGGGCAAAATTACGAGATGATCAGTCAGTGACGTGGCACAAACATGAAGAAATCGATTGAGACTTGGTCTGGCTGCCGCGTGCCGTCTTCGTGGATGAGGGCCTTGGGACGGTTTACTCTAGTGGTTTGAAACTCCACCAGGCATAGCACAGTCGCGCAGTCAGTGGGGATTCTCCATCCGGTCTCTTACATCTAGCTGTTAATTCTCGTCTCACCTCTTAAATGCATTTCTTTGTATGCTATTTACGCTTAACCACATTCTTACCTTTGCTACTTATTACTATTCTGGTGACGTAAATTGTGGTAACTAGGTCCACCGCACATCGGCACCCGGACCACAGTTGTTCAACAACAATTATGGCATCTGTATGTAACCCGGCTGATAACAAAGACCGACGATCACAGGTCTGTGGATGTATCTCTCGTCTTTTCCTCCTGCATCCCCCCCGCCCCCCAAGTCCCCCCCATCCTCCGTTGTTGTTGTTGAGAGAGATACACACAGACTGTGAG